AAAAATTAATTGTTTTTCAAAAACTTGTGTCTGAAGTAACACTGATTATGGTATTACTTACAAAAATCATAATTTATTCAAGAATAGCTATTATTTAGATCTAAAAATTTGAAAAGTTTCAATGAATATTTTAACATAAATCTGTTACTTGAATATGTTAAACACAATTGACTTTCAACTTTGAGATAGTTACAAATATATAAGACTTGGGGTTGTATCTACCAGTTTGAGCAAGTGTGTATGTTCTTACATGTAAAATGCACAATTTTGAAAATTATCCATTTAAACGTCATTGATTTAAAAGATGTTGCCTTTTCGACACATTTAATTGATTGAAAATTGCAAAATGACAAAGCTATTGCAATTCCTTTTAAACCAATCTTATAATGCAGAAAATTATTTTAATTATTAATTTTTAGTAATTATTTTTTAGTTATTTGAATTTTGCCTGTAAAGGCGATGATCATTTGAATCAGTTTTAAGTTTTTTTTTCTCTTTCGAGTCGAGCTTAATGATCGAAGTTTTGCAATGAAAAAGAAACTCAAGAGCAGAACTTACGCTCTCACCATTATGCGATGAATTTCGCTTTTGGTTAGGCGCCTTTCAGGCATATTGGGATATGTGGCTTTAAAAAGGTCGTATGTAGATAATTGGTATTTTTGTCGCAGTTGATGCGAAATTGCATCTGCAAATTAAATTTAAATCTGTCACGGTTCGACAGCTAAGTGGTCCTATTCCAAAAATATTCTTACCGGATATGGTGATTACTTAATTTCTTCATTTTGCAATATTATCAATAATTTTTCCGACTTTTCGATTTCATAACCTTTCTCATAAATGCACCATACTTATTCCATCGAAAATTAAATTACATTTATTATGATCGTTTAAATCCAAACAGTGTCTTATTGGGTGAATCTCCTTAATGAAAATTGACATTTATCACAACCCGTCATAAATTAAAAAAATATATGCCACTGGATCTATCCTACACTAATGACTGCTTGCCACACGCACTGAATGCTATTGTTTTGTGAATGCATTCGCCAGAATTCCTACCGAAAAAGAATGAAAGCAATGTGGTGTCAAATATAAAATGTTGCCATGATAAGACATCAAACTGACAGCATTCGCATACACACAGATGGGGATTTACATGAATACCCCGATGACATGGTGTACAAATAAATACACATTTATGATTGATCGATGATGAATCCTAACCTGATGATGTCGCTGATAAGTCATTCACTACGGTCGATGTGGATGGTGGATGACGCGGATGGATATAATATCAACGTTAACAATTGGCGTTTTATAGCACGGTTGATTACTATCAAAATCGGACTATAGGTATTAGAGATTAGGTGAACAGCCAGCAGGTGACATGCCATGACATGTTTATAATAATCTTAAATGAAATCTGAAACCAAACAATAGTACTCTTTACAGTTTATGTGTGAATAATAAACTGGCGCTAGAATTACTAGAGTACCAGCTTGGAAGCTATAACATGAAAAATATGCTAAAAGCAAACAAACTGCCCTCTTTGCTGTATGCAGGCGGTCCGTCGCCATTGCTGTCAAACAGCCAGCCTACATGCAGATGTCTAACTCGTTCATGAAATATGGTCTGGATTTAGAAGTTGATTAAGTTATCTGGCGTTAGTTATCTGGTCCACAATAAATAAATCAAATGTTACCGTTTTGTGTAAATAAACAATAAATTTCCCCACCCCACCTCGCCGTTGCATGCGGTTGCACCGATGATGATTGTTGACACTACCCGGTCTACCAATAACAATAACAATCACATTCATTTCACGCCACATGGATTTCGGATTTGGGTTAACTCTGATAACAGTGTAGCAGGTACTCACCCATTATACTGCTCACAGTGACCAATGTTTGCTTGGCAAACCTAAGTGATTCCGATATCGTTTAGCTTGTAATACATTTTCAATGTTTATTTTTAATGATAGTGTATAGCGACAAGAAGCGAGAACATCAAATACCTTAAGCTGTCCTAAGTACAACACAATTTATTGTGTGTTGTATGGCGCTGCCGTGGGGATGGGGTGGAGGGGGTCATATTGCGCCACTCATATTAGCGGGCTAACACTTCATTTGGAAATTCTATACTCTATAAATCCACAGTAGCACAAACACACGCACACATGCATACAACGGCATTTCAGTGAATAAACAAATAAATCAAATCAGTCATCAATCGATCAATCACATTTCTGTTTACCCGAATGCCATTTGAAGATTTACTAATTTCACAAATAAACATTTCCCATTAATTTACAATGAATGGTAAACCACTCAACGTGCAAGAAGTTATCTTTCGTCGTTCCAGTCTCTCGCAACAGTTGCGCCCATATGGCAGGCGCTTTTTGATTCAATAATTGTCCCTACAAGTAAATTATCAGTTTTGAATTTTCAAATGGATTTTTATGTCACAACGTACTCTGCTGCATTGTGCTGCGTTGTTGTTTGTTTTGGTGTTTGCTAACGAACATCAGTATTTGTCAGGACAACATGTGTAACTAAAATTTAATTGTATCTCAAAATATTCGCAAACAAGAAACGCCTTTGAATAAATGCATATTCGAATGCAGTACAGTCGACAATGGATAAATATATATATTTTTTAATTTTTAATATTTTGTGGGGAAAATATCAAATCACCAAAACTATGCCTTAGGAATATAAATATGTGTATATAAGGTTGGACAGATCGTGAATTGGCACAGAAATCAGATGTTTCTTTTATGCTTGATGCCATTTTAAACAACGCGAAATAATATATTTGTTTATTGTCAAATAATATCAAATAATACATATTTTTTAATATTAAAACTCTGTTAATCAACATTTGTTTGATTTTTCCTTTATAAAAGGTTTTAGCACTTTTAGAGTACTAGAATATACCACATATTTACAAAGGCAGTACAAAATAGAATTTGCACTGAATTTGCATGAAAATACAAATATAATATTATCGTTTGCCTTTAACTTATGTATATTAATTTAGTACTTATTTTAGATTTTAAAATATCCAGTCAGCCGGATATAATGTGCGACCTTGTACGCCTAATTGAATCCAAATCTAAATTAGTCAAAAAGTAGTCTTGGAAGGCCTGCTGGTTCGTCAAAAAGTAATCTTTAAAGGTCTGTTGTTTAATGTAATATAATTGTTTATATTGGCAAGACATGGCGGGTTCCAAATTTTGATAATTAAATTTACAATAATTAAAATCAGTTTGCAATTTTGAAAACTCTTTTACAATGTAGTGTAGTGTATTGTAGCATCGTTCACTTCAAAATTTTATACCAAAAAATACTACAAATTAAGTAAAAAATATATTTTTGAAATTGTTGTCAACATAAAAATTCAAAGTAAGCAAAGTATTTAAGATTACTTTCTGAAAATTTCGGCAATCCTTATTAACATAACTTGGATTTGTGTATTTTTAGACAAATAAATTTCACATCTACATATATGGATGTTCTAACGCATTTCAGAAATCCACAGTCAAAATTCTAAACTAAAGAGGAAGAATTATCCGAAAATACTCATATTCATAAAAAATATGAACACCTACATATATGGGTTTACGTCCTAGTATTTCAAATTTAGGATCCACTACTTATAAAAGTGTTGATTAAAATGTCTATGATTTACTCAGTATTTAACTGAGTATGGGGTATGTAATCGGTCAACAGATTATGCAGAAATTAGTTAATCAATTATAAATTTATATTTAATTGATTTAATATAGCACAAGATTGACCTCAGTTGGGGGCAAATGTAAATCAGTATTTAAAGAATTGTCACATCAACTAGAAATGGAATCAGAAATGGTTTTGGTAAACGCTTTTCACAGAAATTTGAGATGCATGAAAATGAAGATTTAATTACCAACATTTAGAATTTTAAATTGATGGTCATAGATATATGAAACATTTTTCATAGTTTCCCAGGAGGGTTGATAAAACCCTATTGAAAATTTGTAGTTCTATCTAAAAAGTCGACCAAATAAACTATAACTAACGGACAATATGGTGAAAAATAACGCTAAAATATAACATCCCGAAAATATATTCAAATATGAAAATTCTTGTAGTTTATACAAGGTGTATTGTATTACAAAAACAACATTATTGTTATAGAAAATAAATTGTCAATGCCACAATTTAAAATTCATCTCTTATTTTTCTGGTACTCTTTGGAACCAAATTACAATAAATTCATTGGAAATATTATTGAAGTGAAGACCCTAATATATAACGACAATTTATTGTACCAAAAAAGTAAAAAACGTATTGATAGTCACTTTAGTTTTTTTAGATATTTCATTAGGTCTGTTTACACAAAAACAAGTAAAACATTAAAGATTGTTAAGGAAAAATCGAAAACAATTTCAAATTATTATAGATTCTTGCAGGTTCTGTTAATTAAAAAAATTGAATAATAGTGCTTATCTGTGGTTTATTTAATTAAGAAAATAATAATTTAATATTAAAATTCGTATAAGCCAAAACGTTTGTACTGATAGCAAAATACTATTAAAATATACACGCAAAAATGAGAAGTAAATATTATAACAGCTGAAATTGTATCCAAAAGTCCTGAAAAAAGTTCAGCTCCTTTTTTATATTGATATTGTAGCGACTATCACTTATAGAGACCAATTTCGCCGTCTGTCGTTGTAAGCGATTTTGACTGCATTACACATTTAAATAGGAATGACTTTTAGTTAAAAGAATTTACGGAAAATACATTTTAGAAACTTTTTCAAATCTTTTTTTTTTTTTTTTTTGTAATGTTGCGGTATTTGGATTACGGTCGTAAGAGTCCAATTGTTACATATTAATTATGTGAGATTTATTTGTCTTACAACTCTGTTCATTTACTTTGCATATGTACGTACATATATCCATAAAATTTGTCCTCAGTTATCTTTATAATACAGACTGATATTTAAAACTTACCGATTAGACGCATAACCTCGTGCAGATTAAGATAAACATTGAGATGGCTCTGGACGAGGCTACAAAATGCTAAGAATAGTAATCCAAAGACAGGTGCTGAGTTAAACATTGTTATTGCGAAAACAATTAACGAGTGTCAACTGCGAATTTTAGTTATTATTATTGGTTGTATATGTTTATAATTATCCTCCAATGTGTTTTTTAATTTATTTTATTTTTATATATATTTTTTTTTCAGATGTTAGATTATTGAATAATTGTAACTTTTTTCACTTATAAATACTTGTTTCTCGTCAGATAAGCATTTCAATGCATTTTAAGGATTCAAAATCTTTTTTCTTTTCTTCTTCTTTTATTTATTTTGTTTTATTTGCACTTTAATCCTTTGGTTGACACAATGTTTTGAATCTCGTAGCAATGTTTCCAAATTCATGACAAACAATTAAATAAAAAAAATGTTCCAAGATCTAACGATTCGAATCGGTATTGTTGTGTTGATTGTATTATTGATGTAATGTTACTATGTCCGTACTGCAGGCGATTTCAGTATTAAATACGTTCGATTAGTTGGAGATTTTCTTGTTCGGTCTTCGTCGTCGTAGTTATCGTTAACAAAAAATCCAAAAAGGCGCATCATCCGAGCATTTAATGTGCACACCGTGACGAGTTTCCAAGAACTGTCAACTGGATAAATAAACAAATCGCATCTGAGCCAAAAGATAGTCGCTATTGAACACCACTACCCAACGTCGACAACAACACAGACTGGAGCGCTTATGAAGCGCCAGCATAGAAACATTCGAAATCCACAACACAATACAGTCGTTTGGTGGTGGCAAGAGTGCTGTTATCACAGTTACCATTGGAGTATGGCAGTTTCATGTCCTCTCTCTCTTTCTCTCACTCTCTGGGTTCTCATTTGCTCACAAAGAAATTTGAGGGGCACGATGTTTATTTCCTTTGTATTAACATTGAATGAGCATTGAATTGGGTAGTATTTTTAACACTTGTGCTGCCATCTATGGGATAACAAAAGACGAATCAACATCCCCATGTGGAGGCGAAATATATATGTTTGCATTGGTACGTTAGTGAGTGCAGTTCCCCTTATTGCCAGATTGGAATTTATTGCTACAAAAAAAAACATGTAGGGGACATTTATCCACGTTTCCCCTTAGTAAAACAAAACTCGCGTATAAAAGTGGATTCTATTAGAACAGTAAATGATGTTTGTGGAAAGCGGCGTCGAAGTGAATCCCATTCAAAAAATTAAAAAAATTGTACGAAATTATTACGACTATACGAAGTGACACTACACTATCAAATAAAATATCTTGGAACAAGTGACTTTTTCAATTTTGTAAAATTTTCGAATATAATATACGCATATGGCCAAAATAATAAGTAGCGGTGAGGGGGCAACATTGGACACTTTTTGTTTCAAGATTCAGAAAATTGCTTATTTTATTGTATAATTATTGTTTTTTTTTTTTGTATTAAATTACAATAATAGGTACAGGTGTAACCTTTACACTGAATATACAAATAACATACTTTCCATTCTAATATTTTATTACTGTTTTAATGGACAAAGTCAATAGCTGCCTCCTTGGGACAGTTTTGAACAAAGCTTGGCATTTTGCAAAGGCATTGTTTTTTACAGCAATTGTGTTGAAAAATGACTTAAAAACATATATGTTTTATACATAAAGATCAGAAATATATTTATTTACTAAAAAACACATACAATAAATGTTCGAAAATAATGAAATATTAAAAATAAATTAATTTCATCTATCTATATATATAAAAGAGCTTAGTGTTAAGTGAGTGAGTGAGTGACTGACAGATCATCGTCCAGACGAAACGGCTAAAGCTAGAAGCTTGAAATTTTGAGTGTGGGTTGATGTTGGCTGGGTTTTTGGAAATTCGAACTAGAACGGTACGAAAAGTACTAACATGTACCAAAAATGGTACCTTATGTATTAGGCGAACGGGAAGAGGTAGAATTCTGAAATTTGGAATGTGGGTCACTGATGGAAAGTTAGAAAGATTTACAAAAGGGTTTTTGGAAATTCGACCTATAGGTGTACTAAAAGTACTAAACATTACTAAATTTAGTTCTAATCTATATCTATATAAAAATGGAGCAAGAAAAACTGGACCGATTTGACTTAATTTTTCTGTTAGTAGTCTGTAATTGAAGTGGAAAAATTTAATGAAAGAACATTTTGAGAAAAATCCGCGAAAATTTTGCAAAATATATTTTGAAAGATATTAGCATTTCCACACATTTTATATCGAACCTTTATGGTTTCATCTCTTTTTAGTTCTTTTTGGACGTTTTTTGTGCGAAAATGGGCAGCGTATATCTTGTCAAGTAATTGTCAATTATGGAAATTTCTCAAAATATGTTAATTTTCAACAATTAATTTGATTGTCATTGCCTTGAAAAAACTATCTACATCAGGGCTGTCCACACTAATACATTCAAGTTTTGTGATTGTATATGTTTCAAATACAAAATTTTCAAAAGTTCTGTTTCTATGTCATATACTGGGAGAAATTTTGTTAAAATATTATTTTCAAATTTTAAGGAAGAAAAAAATTTAATATTTAATGCAAATATGGTTGTTGATACATTTTCCCATATAAAGATATATTTGTTTCTGCTTTGCCCTTCCGGCTCATATATTTCGACCAGTTCCGAACTAATGTTTGCCAGAAATATCCCAATTTTTTCGGTTAGTGTATAAAAACAAAAAGGAATGAATGACAATTTTGAAAATAATTTTTATTTTCAAAATTTTCTCTTTTATAATTGTATGTGTGAGAAATTTGACACACACCGACATCCCATGGGACCTATTTTGGGCACAGCTGGTATATATTAAATGTATTGGTAACATATTTCGTCTTTTTCTGAACTAATTTTTGCCAAAAATGTCCTATTTTTTCGTTCAGTGTATGAAAACAAAAAGAAATGAATGACAATTTTGAAAATATTTTTTTATTTTCAAATGTTTCTATTTTTATCATTGTGGGTGTGAGAGTTTTGACACACACACTGCTGTCTTAATGTATTGCGTATATATTAAATGTTTTGCATATTAAAACCAGTAAGAAAAGTAGTAAAGTCGGACGGGGCCGACTATATTATACCCTTCACCACTTTGGGTATATTTAACAGACACAAAAATGGATCCATAAACATGTCATTCTGCAACCTATACTCAATTTTTCATTTGGTCAGATATAGAGTTGCTATATATATATATAATGTGAACCGATTTCAATGAGACTTGATAGAGATTAACTTATATTAACTACAGTTCATTGTACAAAATTGTGTGACAATCGGACAAACTTTGGGTATGAAATCTGAACCGATTTTCACGACACTTAACACAAATCATTCTAGACCTAATTCATTACGCTATGCTGTGCAAATCGAAAGATATATTGGGACATTGGTACACCATTTACATTAAATCGTAAAATATATATGGGAGCTATATCTAAATCTGGATCGATTTTCAGGAAACTTGACAACATCAGTCTAGACCTAATTCATTACGCTTTGCCAAATTTCGTGCAAATCGAAAGATATATAGGGACTTTGGTACACCATTTACATTAAATCGAACGAAAATATATATGGGAGCTATATCTAAATCTGGACCGATTTTCAGGAAACTTGACACACATCAGTCTAGGCCTAATTCATTACGCTACGCCAAATTCCGTGCAAATCGGAAGATATATAGGGACTTTGGTACACTATTTACATTGAATCGGACGAAAATATATATGGGAGCTATATCTAAATCTGGACCAATTTTCAGGAAACTTAACACACATCATTCTAGGCCTAATTCAGTACGCTGTGCCAAATTTCGTGCAAATCAAAAGATATATAGGGACTTTGGTACACCATTTACATTAAATCGGGCGAAGATATTATTGCCTTACAGGAAATGCGATAGAAAGGGGCAGGCGTAAGTAAATCAGACGATTACGCCCTGTATTATAGCTGCCATGAAACGAGACATGAATTTGGCTGCGGATTTATGATTAACAGGAGAATAGAAGACCTTGTCTCCAGATTCACTCCAGTAGATGAGCGAATTGCTATAATCAGAAAAAAGAAGAAAGAACAAGAAAAACGTGAGCGTGAGCAAATCGATATGTACAGGAGTCAGAATGAAGTCCGGAAATTTTACTAACGAGTAAAACACCAAACCGAAGGTTTTGGTGCAATCACATCCTCCTGTAGAGATGAAGAAGGAAACCTGGTGACAGATACAGACAGCGTGTTGAGGATCTGGAAGGAGAATTTCGAAAAGCTTCTAGTATCAAATAGTGGCGATGAAGAAGATACCCCAGAACCAATAAGAGATGATGGTATAGAGTGTATACCACCTAGCCAAGATGAAGTCATAAAAGCAATTAATCGGCTCAAGAACAACAAAGCAGCAGGAGCCGATGGGTTACAAGCCGAACTATTCAAGACTGGTGGCCAGATGCTAGTCAGGAGCATGTACCAGCTGATTAGCACAATTCGTTAGATTAATGCATGTCCAATGATTGGAACCTCAGCATCCTGTGTCCCGTGCACAAAAAAGGAGACAAGACGATATGTGCTAACTATAGTGCTATCCAGTGTGCTGTGTGAACGAGTGAAGTCAATGGTCAATGACATCATTGGACCATACCAATGCGGCTTCAGACCTGCAAATCCACCATTGACCAGATTTTCACTCTGCGCCAAATCCTGGAAAAGACCCACGAAAAACACATCGACACATACCACCTATTTGTCGACTATAAAGCCGCATTCGACAGCCCTATCCGTTCAGAGGTGTTTAAAGCCATGTATACGTTCGGCATTCCTGCAAAATTAATACGGCTATGCAGGATAACTTTAAGTGGCACAAGGTCAGCAGTTAAAATAGGAAAGGACCTATCGGAGTCCTTCATTACCGAACGAGGATTCAGACAAGGTGACAGTTCCTCGAGTGACCTTTTTAACATCCTACTGGAAAAGGTCATACGAGACGCAAAGGTGAACAGAAATGACACTCTGTACACCACTGTACGCTGATGGTA